TCTCTCTTTTTCTTGATGAGTCTAGTTAAAGGTTTATCAATTTTGTTTATCTTTTTGAAGAAGCAGCTCTTGGTTTCATTGATCTTTTGTATTTTTTTAGACTTCATTTTGTTTATTTCCTCTCTGATCTTTACTATTTTTTCCTTCTATTCACTTTGGGCTTTGATTATTGTTCTTTTTATAGTTCCTTTAGGTGTAATGTTAGATTGTTTATTTGAGAGTTTTCTTGTTTCCTGAGAGAAGCCTGTAATGCTATGAATTTCCCTCTTAGGACAGCTTTTGCAGTATCCATAGGTTTTGAGTTATTGTTTTCATTTTCAGTTGTCTCAAGATATCCTTTGACTTCTTTTTTGTCATTGTTAACCCATTCAATGTTTAGTAACATGTTGGTTAGCCTTCATGTGTTTCTGTTTTTCAGGCTTTTGTGTAACTGATTTCTAGTTTCATATCATTGTCGTTGGAGAAGATGCTTGATATGATTTCAATCTTCTTAAATTTATTGAGACTTGTTTTGTGTCCTACTATGTGGCTTATCCTGGAAAATCCCATGTGCACTTGAAAAGAATATATATCCTGCTTCTTTGTGGTGAAATGCTCTGACTATACCAATTAAATCCATCTAGTCTAGTATGTCATTTAAGGCTGCTGTTTACTTGTTGATCTTCCGTGTGAAAGATCTATCCATTGATGTCAATGGGGTGTATTACTGTCGATCTCTCCCTTTATGTACATTAATATTTGCTTAATATATGTAGGTTCTCCTATGTTGTGTGCATAAGTGTTTACAAGGGTAATATACTGTTGTTGGATTGGTCCCTTTATCATTATGTAATTTCCTTTTTTGTCTCTTATTAAAACCTTTGTTTTAAAGTCTATTTTGTCTGGTATAAGGATTGCTACCCCAGCTTTTCTTTCATTTTCATTTGCATGAAAAATCTTTTTCCATTCCTTTACTTTCAGTCTCTGTGTGTCTTTTGATCTGAAGTTAATCTCTTGTAGACAGCATATATATGGGTCCTGTTTTCTTATCCATTCAGATACCCTGTGTCTTTTGTTTGGAGCAATTAAGCCATTGACATTTAAAGATTTTAGATAGGTATGTATTTGTTTGGAGCAATTAAGCCATTGACATTTAAAGATTTTAGATAGGTATGTATTTGTTTCCATTTTATTGTACATATTTATGTTCATTTTTTCTTTCTTTTTCTTAAAGAAGTCCCTTTAATATTTTTTTGTAATATTGGTTTGGTGGTAATGAACTCCTTCAGATTTTTCTTCTCTGGAAAGTTCTTTATTTTTCCTTCAGTTTTAAATGATAGTTGGGTAGAATAGTCTTGGTTGTAGATCCTTGCTTTTCATTACTTTGGATATTTCATGCCAATCCCTTCTGGTCTGAAATGTTTCTATTGGAAAATCAGCTGACAGTTTTATAGGAGCTCCCTTGTAGGTAACTAACATTTGCCACTTTTAAGATTCTCTCTTTGTCCTTCAACAGTTTTATTATACTGTGTCTTGGTGTGTCTCTCTGAGTTTCTCATACTAGGAGTTCACTGGGCTTCTTGAATTTTTAGATTCATGTATTTCATCAAATTTTGGGCATTATTTTAAAACATATTCTTTATCCTCTTTATTTTCTCTTCTTTTTCTGGAGCTCCCATAGTGGGTATGTTGGTCTTCTTGATGGTAACCCACATGTCCTTTTGTCTCTGTGCACATTTTTTTTCTTTCTGCCCTTCAGATTTGATGTCAATTGTCCCATCCTCAAGTTTTCTGATTCTTTTGCCTGCTCAAATCTATTATTGAATGCTTCTAAATGAATTTTTATATCAGTTATGTACCTTTAAGCTCCAGAATCTGTTTGGTATATTTTTATAATTTCTTTCTCTTGATATTCTCATTTTGTTCATACATCCATTCCTCCCACCTCCCAGCACCAAATATTTCACTCTACTCTTCTCTTGCTTACATGGTTTCTGAGGAAACTCCAGTGTAATTTTTATCTTTATTTTTTTTACAAGTAAGGTTTTATTTTCCCTACTAGCTTCTTTCAATATTTTTTCTTTATCTTTGATTTTCTGCAGTTTAAGTATGATATGCCTAGGTGTAGATTTGGGGGCATTTATTCTGCTGGGTGTTCTCTGTACTTCTTGGATCTGTGGTTTTGTGTCTTACATCAATTTTGGGAAATTCTCAGTCATTATTATTTCAAATATTACTTTTTGTTCTTCTCTGACTTCTCTGATATTCCCATTAACACATGTGTTACACCTTCTGTGGTTGTCCCACAGATCTAGGATATTCTGTTCTGTTTATTTCAGTTTTTTTTCTTTGATTTTGAGTTTTAAAAGTTTCTATTGACATATTCTCAAACTCACTGATTCTTTCCTCAGCTATGTCCAGTCTACTAAAGAGCCTATCAAACAAAGGCTTTCTTAATTTCTGTTACAGTGTTTTTTTATTTCTATCATTTCTTTTTTATTCTTTCTAATAATTTCCCTCTCTCTGCTTACATTACCCATCTTTTCTTGCATGTTGTCTACTTTTTCCATTACAGCCCTTAGCTTATTAATTGTAGTTGTTTTAAAATTCCCAATCTAATAGTTCCAACATTATCCCTGCTGTATCTAAGCTGGCTCTGATGCTTTCTCTATCTCCTCAAACTGTTTTCTTCTTTGCCTTTTACTATGCTTTCAAATTTTTGGTTGAAAGCTGGACATGATGTACTGGGTAGAATTAACTTAGTTTATTATAAACTTCGTTTCTGTAGGGCTTTTGGTTTGTGAGATTTTCCTCTGGTAAGTTGTGATTCTCTGTATCCGCCTGTCTGTCTCCAATTTTGCCGTGTGGCCTCAATTCTCTAGCAGACCTAAGAGTTGTTACTTTTCGATTTGTTCAGTTTTTGAATTGTTCAAACAGGGTGATGACTGGACTAGAAACTAGAAGTACTCTTTTGGATCTTTTTAAACAATTTCTATTTCTTTATTGATATTTTTATTTGATGCAATGTTGTCATTATACCTTACTTCTTTAAACACAGTTTGCTTTAGTTCTTTGAACATATTTATAATGGTCACTTTAGAGTGTTTTTGTTTAAATTTAACATTTGGTCATTCTCAGGCAGTTTTTTTTTTTCTACGTTTTTTAGTATATGAGCCATACATTCCTGCATCTTTGCATGTCTCATAATTTTGGTTAAAAAATAGAAATGTTGGATAATATATTGTAGCAAATCTGTGTCCTGGCTCCCCTCTGTCCCCCTTTCCCCCAATCAGGGCTTTTAAAACACTGTTATTTGCTTGTTTATTGTGGGGTGACTGGCTAGATTACCTCAGTTAATCCCATTTCCCACCATCAGTGTTCAGCTGGATGTTGCTCCAGAGTGGGGCACATCTTTGGTTATGCCCACAGTCACCCTCAAAGAACTGTGATCTTAGCAGGGTTCACTCCCTTCTTTCTCTGAGTACTCAGCTGATAAAACAACTGCCAGCTTTTACTCTATTGATTTCAAAAGGGTCCAAGGACATAATGATCCAGACTAATACATTCAAGTTTGGATTCCTTTGAGGGGATGGTTCAAAAGGGGAGTGTGTACCTATCCCAGCTCCAGCACAGGGCTGTGGGTGCGGGGGCCAGGCTGGGTGGCTTTCAGTATTTGTAAGCATCTCAGCAGAACAATAAAGCATTTGGAGTGTGATTCTGGAAGGCCAAGTTGTGTGGGGCACTGGGCTGAGGTACACGGGGTAGGAGGGTTAGGTTTTCCCCACAGAGTAGGATTTCCACCTTATTAAAAGTTCCAGGAGGGACCCAGGGCCCAACCCATGACCTCCAGGTCACTAACCTGCCCTCCTCCAGGACGACTGAGGACTGGCAGGAGGCACAGAAGGGCATGAGGTCTCCAGGGATGGAGAATGACGAGGCAGAAGAAGGTAGGGACACATGCACAGGTTTAATGAGGCAGGAGCTGGAGCTGGAGGAGGAACTGAGGCAGATGGGGCAGTGGGGCCCATCACTGTGGCAGGAGGCTGAGCAGAAGGGCAGCTATGAGGCAGTGGGGCTGCAGGAAAGCTGTCTGGGCTCCTGAGCTCAGCCGGTCACCATAACGGTCCAGGAGCATCAGGACCACTCCATTGGTCCAGCCAAACCCTTTCTGGAGAGAGGCATGGCCTGTGGGCAAGCCCTCTGGGGAAGGCCCTCAAGTCCTTTTAGGCACGTGTGGGATCTCTACCCAGAGGCACTGGCCCTGCCTAGCCCAGGGGACCAAGGAGGACCAGTCTGGCTCCTCCCTGCGGACCCACACCCATGGGAGAACTGAGGCCTAGAGAGGGAAGGTCATGGTCAGCTGTGGGGACAGCAGAGCCCCACAGTTCCCTGTAGGATGTTGGCCCACTCACCTGAACTTCATACTCCCCTCCACCACCTGGCTGTCCTCCGTTGCTGATGTCATACTGGGGACAAGAGGACAAGCCTAAGGTCAGCACTATCCCCACCCCCTGACCCAGCCTCCAGGGGGAGCAGGAAATGGGAGATCCTTTGGGAGAGGCTGCTCTGGCCTGTCTCTTACCTCTGCAGTGCCCAGGAGTAGCCACTGGGTGCCGCCACCACCCCTGGGCCTGGGCTTTGCAAGCCTGACAATTCCTCACCTCACCTTGGGGAGGCCAACTGGGGGGACTGGGCTCAGGGCCAGCTCACCTTCTCGAACATGGCTGACTTCTGGGAGTAGACATCAAAGTTGGTTTGGATCCAATTCTGCGCCAGCTGGAAAGCCACTTCCTGGGTCCTGGGTGAAGGCGACTTGGCCAGACCTAGACCCCGCCCCAAGGCAGGACCCTGAATCTCCAGAGCCCCCATCCGAGGGGGAGCCGGGGCCTGAGCTAATGCTTCTGAAGGTGGGAAAGAGGCGGGACCCTACGACCTTCTTCCTGGAACCACAGGCGAACCTGCTCTGATCCAGGGCCTGGGTTTGGAGGGAGAGGAGGTCTGAGTCCCCTACCAGGTGGCCGTGGACGCAAATGCTTGCTGACTGGGAGGCTGAGAGAACAGGGGAGTCAGAGAAAGACCCCACATCCTTTGTTCACACCTCCCCAGTACTAGGGAGGCCCACTCTGTACCTCCACGGGGTGAGGCCCTGGGACATGCCCATCCTGCCTCCTACCTCTGATGACCAGGTCCTGTAGGGGGGCCCAGGCATTGGGGAAGTCCCACTGCTGGCCCGTCTTCCTGAGAGAGGTTGGGATCCCATGTTGGTAGGTCAGGATCTGGCTGTCCTGGAATGTTCCAGACATCAGTGTGACTGTGGGTGGGGCTGGGTGGGGAGCCAGGAGGCTGGGCCCTGCTCAAGCCAGATGTCCCTTTCTTGGGCCTTCCCCTCTTGGCTCTCAGCTGCCCCCTGGTGGCTGCAGCGGGACCCTCAGGCTAAGCCACAAGAGAGAGTGGCTGCCCCTTGCCAGAGATCACTGCTCAGGGGCAGGGAGAAAGCCAGTGGAGCTGCCCCAGTGCACCAGCCTGCCCTGCTGCCCCCTCACCTCCAGGTACTTCAGGGCCTTGTCCACGACACCTGGGTCAGAGAAGCAGCCGGCCCAGAGGGGAGCAAGGTTGGATGGGTAAAACTCTTGGTTCTTCTTTTGGTTTTCAAGGTCATAGTCAAACCAGGCACCCTTCTTCTCATCCCAAAGGAGAGCCTTCATGGCTGCCAAGCGCTGGTCCCGCAGGTTCCTGTACTTTGTGGCTTCAGTGTCATTCTCTGGGGCAACACTCTATGTGGATGGAGTAAGCAGGCTCCTGAACTTAGCTTCTACAGAAGGAATGTAGAGATATAAGAATTTTATAGAGAATGTCACAGAAGGAGCAGGGGAATATCTGCTTCTAACTCCTCCCCTCCTCCATGAAGCCCTCCCAGCATTCCCCCAGGCAAACCTAGCCAGTCCCGCCACCTCCAGGCTGCCCACTCCTGCTCTAACAGCGCTTGGTAACTGTTCACTCCTGCTGGGCTCTTCCCCGAGCTCCTCGGGCCACGCCTCTGCACAGGAATGACCATGGCTACTGCTCGGTGTGGCCCAGCCCTGTGATCAGCACAGCTCAGCTGTTGGCACTTTCTCTCCTTTGTCTGAGGCTCAGACAGGGCAGTGATTTGCCCAAGGCTGCACAGCACCTGTCCTCCCACCCAGCCCCCAGGGCCCTGGCACCCACAGGCAGAGCAGTGCTCCGGGCTCCTCTGCTAGTGTATGCTGCTTGCTCAGCCAGCCCCCGGGAACCTGAGCCTCATTCCACTGCTCCCCACAAGGCCTCTCCCACCAAAACCACACTCACTCATACAGAACTAGCAGGAAGGAGCAGAGGGAAGGAAGCACCTGGGGCGGACACCCAGCAAGCCCCACTCTGGCCCGACCTTGCTCTCCCTCAGCCACGTTCACTCACGTCCACCCCACTGGGGAAACGGTTCTGGGCCAGAGAATGTGGAGCCCTCAGTCTCTGGGCCTGGCTTGGTGGTGGTAGCAGAGATTCGGGGGGCAAGGGGAGCTGGAGGAAATGACCCCCCACCTGGGTCCTGAGAGTGGCCACTGCTTGGTGAGCACCTGCTGGTGCCAGGCAAGGGGTCAGGGCTCCTTCACACCACCGAGCACAGCAGGGCTGCAGGAGCCCGCACGTGGGGGTGAGCAGGCCGGGCTCCCAGCAGCCAGACTTGACTGAGGCCACAGGGCTGCGCAGCAGCAGAGCAGAGCCCAAGCCCAGGCTGCCTGGCTCCAAAGCCCACAGCTGCCAGGGCCTCTACCGCCCCAGCCTCTTCCAGCCTCCAGCCTGGGGGAAGGGGCGTGGGGTCTAGGCTCCCTGTGCCGTCCCCTGGGTCCAGGTGAAGCCAGAGGTCCTCCAGCACCCTGAGCGGTTCTCCCTGATCTACTCACGGCACCCCTTCATTGTGCCTGGCGGGCGCTTTCGCGAGTTCTACTACTGGTGAGCGGCCAGGAGCTGCGGGGGTGGGAGTGGTGGGGAGCCCAGAGCCTGCGGGGTGGCCTGAGCAGGGTGAGATACCCTGAGGTGATGTGGCCTGGGCATGCAGGGCAGAGGGCGGGTGGTGGGATGCCCGGCTGGGATACTGAGGGACCCTTCCCCCAGGGACTCCTACTGGGTGGTGGAGGGTCTGCTCCTCTCTGAGATGCCCGAGACGGTGAAGGGCATGCTGCAGAACTTCCTGGACCTGGTGAAAACGTAAGCAGGGGCCTGGCACCTCAAGGCCGGGGGGGAGGACAAGCAGGTGCCACGGCTTGGAGCCGGATCTGCCTTGGCCCTGGGGGATGGGCGGGGGCGTCAGCAGGCCTCCTTCTTGGCAGCTATGGACACATCCCCAATGGGGCCCGCGTGTACTACCTGCAGCGCAGCCAGCCCCCGCTCCTCACCCTCATGATGGACCGCTACGTGGCTTACACCAGCGACACCGCCTTCCTACGGTGGGCGGCCCCTCCCATGCTGCCCGCAGGCTCCCCAGACCTGAGACCTCCCAGGGCGGGAATAGGGGGGTGTGGCTGGGCTGAGGTGGTGCCTGGCTCTACCCCAGGGACAACATTGGGACCCTAGCCTTGGAATTGGACTTCTGGACTGAGAACAGGAACGTCTCTGTGAGCTTGGGGGGAAAGAGCTACGTCCTGAATCGCTATTATGTCCCTTTTGGGGGACCCAGGTGAGGAACTGTGGGGATAGCCTCTCAATCTCTTGTCTATTCACCTGGTTCAGGGGTCACCAGGCCCCTGGGCAGGAGGGCAGGGGACCTAGGTCCACCTCTCTGATGGTGAGACTGGGGATGGGGGCTTGTGTTTTAAGAAAGGAAACCTGGTCTGTGCTCTGAGGAGAGGGGGCCTGCATCGCCCTCTCTCAAGTCCATGCCACTTGGCCAGGCCTTCTGAAGACACCATTGTGTTTGCAGCAGTGATTGCCCCAAACTGGGAGAGGGGCTGGCAAGTCCAGCAGGATGCCCTGTGTCTGCCTCCACCCCCACAGAGTTCCAGGGCCTACTCTGGGCTGTCCCTGAGGCAGCAGAGACCCCAAAGGACAAAGGGAGTAGGCAGGACAGGCCTGTGACTGGGGACATGGACCTCTAGAGGGGAGCAGAATTCAGTCCTGGCAAGGGGAGAGGAAAGCCCACTACAGGAGGCCACAGAGGAGGGCAGAGCACCCTGGGGCTTGTGTCCTGCAGCTTGGCCACCAGCCTGTGCACCGCAGCACTGGCCCCACCTCCCCTGGCACCTCTTGGCCAGGGCCTGGAGCTGGAAAAGAGCACCTCAAGTCCTCTCCCCATACTCCCCTCCTCAAACCATATCCACCTGTGGATCAAAAACACCTTTTTTTAAACCCTCAGTTGCCTGAGAGATGTGCACGGTTGTGGCTTAGTCAGAGGACCACCTGCACACAGAGTGGGGACTGGTGAGCAGTGCTTGCTCTCAGAGCTTGCACGTTTCTGCATTTCTGCACATGGCAGCAATTTTTGCAGAAAGGGTTTAGAAGGTGCATCTGGGCCAGGCACCAGCCTGCTGCTGTTGTCTGTGGTTGCCTCTGCCCAACCAGGTTGCCCGACCTCTGTTCACACCTCCACCACTGTGACTTCCTCTCCCTGTGGGAACAGGGCACAGGGTCAGGGGCTCCTGCCATACTCATACTACCAGGCATCTCCCTGTAGGCCAAACCTTCCACTGCCACAGCCCAGTATCAGCAAAATTCAGGTGCTCCCTGGGGAGCCCTCAGGTCACACACTCTCTCCTGCACAAGCCAGTAATCAATGGACTCACATGTTTGCAAATCTCCCTGAGAGACGTTTGAAAATGGAGCTGGGTTCCAGGAGCCCTGTGTGGGGACTGGGCGGAACTGGAGATGCGCTCCTGTGTAAGAGTCTCTGTGGCAGAAGGTGGCTGACGTAGCTGATGTGGACCCTTATTTGCCAGATCTCCCAATTTTTCAAAGTAAGGTGGAAATATATATTTTTACCTAAAATATGCCAAATTTTAAGTGTCCCAATGTCCCAAATTCTGACTGTAAATCTGGGAGTGATTCCTATTGCAGTGTGGAGTGGTGAGGAGGAGACATGGCCCCACTGCAGGGCCCCACTTCCCCCCAAGGGTTCAGGGCCCTGCCCTTGAATGAAGCCCCATCCGGGGGTGCTGACTCACAATTACTTGGTGCCCTTTACACTGAGATACTCTGTACGTATTTGAGATCCTTAATATGTAGAAATCTCTTACAAATCCAAAAGTGAAAAAATCCTGTCACACTTGGAAGACACCTACAGAACCCCATGGATGGTGGGTAAACGTGACGCATTTACTGTTCTCTGATCTGATCAGGCTCAGTCCACACGAGGCAGCCCCGCCGCCCCTGTGGCAGCTCCCTGACCTTGGACCTGCTCTCCCGCCTCAGCACTTAGCTTGTCTGCCAGACTTTCTCAGCACACGTATGCGCAAGCGCATCATCAGTGGCGAGAGCAACACTTTGGAACATTTATTCAGCTTTGACTTCGCAGTGAAGCTGTAGGCTATTAGGGGGAGGGACTGAGAAGGGGACCCCTTTTCTCAGTTCTCAGAACTACGTCCTCAGCAAAAGCCCTGAGACCTGCTCGGCCTACCATCCTTGGAGGGGGGCTTCTCATTGCCTTTACCCCAAAGTAGTTCTTGGAGGAAGAATTACTAGTTCCCTTCTCGATTCTCAGGGTAGCCATGTGACTGGCATTTTAAAAAGTTGATTTCCCAGGCTCCCCTGCAGTTAGAGGTGACCGGGGGGCCCACTTTTGACAAATGAGATGTTAGCGGAAGTCACGGGAAGGGGCCCCTGAGAAAGCTCCGTTAAAGGGAAAAAAACCTGGCTGGAGCGGCTCAGTTGGGTGAGTGTCCTGTGCACTGATGGTCGCCAGCTCGCTCCTGGTTGGGGCACATGCGGAAGACAAGTGATCGATGTTTCTCTCTCACATTGATGTTTCTCTCTCTCTCTTCCTCTCTAAGCATGTCCTTGGGTGAGAATTAAACAAACAAACAAATAAATAAACTGGAAAAGACTCAGCTGGCTTTGCACTTGGTCTTTTGCCCTTTGCCCTCCCCACTCCTTCCTGCCTTGAGCACAGGTGACCTCGGGATTGCAGAGGCCACTTGCAACCAGGAAGCAATGAACCTGAGGCTAAAGGCACACGCTCAGGATGGCAGAGCAGAAAGATGGAGAGAGACTGTGCACGCTCAGGATGGCAGAGCAGAAAGATGGAGAGAGACTGTGCACGCTCAGGATGGCAGAGCAGAAAGATGGAGAGAGACTGTGCACGCTCAGGATGGCAGAGCAGAAAGATGGAGAGAGACTGTGCACGCTCAGGATGGCAGAGCAGAAAGATGGAGAGAGACTGTGCACGCTCAGGATGGCAGAGCAGAAAGATGGAGAGAGACTGTGCACGCTCAGGATGGCAGAGCAGAAAGATGGAGAGAGACTGTGCACGCTCAGGATGGCAGAGCAGAAAGATGGAGAGAGACTGTGCACGCTCAGGATGGCAGAGCAGAAAGATGGAGAGAGACTGTGCTCCATGGCACCTCAGCCACAGCAGCCCCGGGCTCTGGTTATATGAGAAAAACAAACCCCTGAGCCCGTTTTTCAGATTTCTGTCACTTTTGACTGAAAGTCTCTAACAGGTCCTTCTCTGAGGCCTCTAGTCAGTGCACTTTCCTTCAACCCCATCACACGTGCAGCAAAGTTGTA